GTTCAACGTTGATGAAAGATCATGTCATAGTATTCTGAAGACCGGGCCAAGGCTCACTAGTACGAAAAGCGACTTCCTTGCCGTAGCACGAAGAGGAACCTCGGGTCCACTGACGATCAGCGGTGGACGGAAATCCCGCAGCGAAAAATGTTTGCGACTACGAGAAAGTGGGTTCCTGTCCTAGGGAACCACATCCAGAGGAGGAAATCAATAGAAAGGAAGGGACTTGGCAAGCTAAGAGACGCAAAACTACAAGTGCTCGAATGATACAACTTTAGCGAAATTTGCCTTCTAGGGAAGTACAGGCCCGTTGATGAATAGCACATAAACAGCAAAAAAGTGAGCACAGCTGGTCCAAAAGGATGCACTATCATTATCCAGATCTCATTTCGCTCTCTCTTGACAATCAAATGTCATGAAACTGTGCCGTGATTTTTCCACCCTAAAAGTCACCAAAACACTGAACAAGATCTCTAAGAAAAATTGTCCAAGTGTCAACCATAATCTCATATCATCCACAAATCGCTGGCATGAGATCCATCATTCATGATAAGAACGAAAGGAACAAAAAAATTGTGTTTGTTTCCATAAACAACTCAAAAAAAACTGTGGACTAATTACGCGTTCAAATTCCCGCCGTACATCTGTCACAAATATTGGATGACGGAAATGGTTCCGCTCGGTTCTCGAAGTTCCTTCTGGCTTTTTGTACCAATGACAATAGCATTTCCCTTTTGCACTGCACCCAATCCTTTCTGTTATGTTGTTTCTGTTTGCAAATGAACGCTATTACCCAATTCTTTCAATGCGTCGACAGACTCGTTATTACGCCTCAAGGCGCAATTCCTTCTGTGTGTCCCCTTGTCTCCGCCCGAACTACCCGCGACCGTCCCTGGTGAGTGGTTTTTGTGGGGTTGTTTCTCTTCGGAAACTGAGCCATGTTGTGTGAAACTTTGCACGTTGTCTTTACTGACCACAACAGACTATTCATGTTGGGAGTGAATAAAAGAATTTTTGCTTCAGACGACTCTTACAAGCCTGCCCACGCACGGTACAATACCGTTTAGGTCTGAGGGCGCACTTGGATAATCCGACTTCAGATATTCAATACCCTTGGAGCCTAGAAAGTCGAGGCAAAACCAAGTACGAAGTTACAATTTTGCCCCATCTCCCTGTATAATATCATCTGATTGTTAGACATAATCCACATGGTTTAAGCCTTTCGGACAGATTTGACCCATGGGAGTAGGCATCGACTATGGTGTCCTGTCGTAGTCACGTACAATACTCGACATATTTCTGTTTTCTGGAATATTCGTTTAATGAAGCTTCGTAGATCGACCAACCTTCGGCTTCTCAATTGTGAGGGGAAAAGAAGGTGGACCTTCTGCTCATCACCTCGCGATTCTAAAAAATGACCCCTCCCCACAAAAGTTTCTGGTCAAGAACTTTTTTCTTGAATACATTGACTTTGTTGCTTTCGAACTTAATGAAAAGGATAAAGCATTTGCCGTTGATCAATCCCTTTTTGGGATGCGGCACGCATTCTACTTCCATTTGTACATTCGTAGTGGCGTTTGAATGCGATGTGGCCTATACAATGACTTGCGGGGGCCAGCCGATGTACAAGTCAGTGTTTTTATCCTCCCAGACAAGTCTGGTACCAATTAACCGACCCCGGAGGGATGGAAGGCTTGGTTGGCCCGGGCGACTCACGACCCAGGATTTGATCCCCGGACCGCTCGCGTGGTAAGCGTGCCACTTGCCACTACACCACTTCCGCCACTTTTGAAGTTGCTGCAAACCCTACTATATATAAAGCGCTAAGTCTGTCTGTCTGGTTGTGTGTGTGTCACGAAATTCATAGCGCGCGCACCAGCAGTCGTCAGGAGTTGATTTCAAGATATGATATAGGGGGTGGGACGGGAACATATTTGGTGGGGGTCAGAAAGTGATAACGACTGATAAGAGCTGATAAGAGGCGCTAGAACGCAAGTGTCACGAAATTCATAGCTCGCTTCCCAGCAGTCGTCAGGAGTTGATTAGATATGATATAGGGGGTGGGACGGGAACATATTTGGGGGGAAAGAAAGTGATAACAACTGATAAGATCCGATAAGAGGCGCTAGAACGCAAGGGTCACGAAATTCATAGCGCGCGGACCAGCATTCAAGATGCTATGTTTCAGTTTTTGGAAGAGCTTCATCTAGGATTGCACCATGCTCTCGACTTCCATCTCCAGAAGTAATGAACATTTGCATGTGATGCGTTCTAAACCCTTTTTGCAGTTTACATATTCCACAGAAGGATGGATCTCAACACTTGCCTCAGAATACGCCACGTACACAATCTATCCACCATTTGGTGAGATTGAATGAATGTTTTTTTCGAATTCACGATCTTTACTTCGTTCTAGCGCTAGTTAGCCGAACGTGTTGTCTCTGCGCTCATCAACCATTCTTCCATTT